TGAAACAGCTACAGTCGTTAGTAGTTATGTACCCATTCTAAGTAGGTGGGAGGAGGGAGGGGAGAGTAGAGTAAGTGGCTTTGTGGTCGGCTACAGCTCTTTGGCATTGAACTCGAAGTTTTAAGCATCCCTCAACCCCTTTTAAAACTTGGACTGCCTGAATCCATATAGCGAGGACAAATTACTGTGAATAAGTTTTCTTACCTATGGTTACTTTGCCTCAATATAACGGCTTTTTATGGTGAAATCGATTTCACTAGTTCATTATTGCAGGTCAATTACACACGTGTTTGCCTCTTTTTGGCGGCAAGAATTCCTGAATAGATGAACCCCTATTCGTAGAGAACGTGAACTCTCCCGATTTTAAGGAGTCGCAGCTTTTTGAGCCTTGAGTCCGGAGTGAGGAAATAAGTGTAATCGCTCCTGTGTCACCTCGCACCATCTCAAAGCAAATATAACTTCAGCGAGTTTAGCGCTAAGCCTCATTTTGTTACAAGATGTGCAGGTGTTCCCGTTTCATTTTAAAACTTTGTAAACTCTGCTAATATCTCACAGTTTTGCTGAACGAACATCAGAATCTGTCGTCTTGCCGCTTTATTAGGTAAAAAATTCAAAATAAAATAGGAATTCCGAAATAACGGTAGAAGAAAGGATCAATAAAACGCAGAAATCATTAAAGTCAACCGTTGAATTGAAGTGAGTCTCGGATTTTCGCGATTTGGTCGTCTAGAGAAGCCAGACCTCGTTGAAAGTGCATCATGTCGGTAGTGCGCAGAGAACTCAGTGAACTTGTTGAGAAACTGCGATCTCTTCCTTCAATATTCTTCTAGAAAGGGGGAACCCAGTAATTGATATAAGAATCCCAGGACTTTTCATTACAAAGGCAAAAGAAGAGATAGACTTACGGCTGAGTCGCAGCGTCGCGGCTCCGCGGCTGAAATACTGGTAATGTTGTCATTGTCGATGTCTTCAAGACCTTCAAAAAGAACTACCTGAAGGCGATGTCACACATATAGTGGGATCTTACTCTTGGTGTGAGAGGTAGGTCCCCAATTCGAGATGAGCACTGCAGAAGGGTTGGACTGGATGGACTAGTAAATAAAGAGGCACGCAATGTTTACGAGAATCAGGTAATCACATCTAGAGGAAAACACAAGAGGAACTTCACATGAGTGTTCAAGTCCATGACAATGAAAGTTTCAGTCTACTCTTTCGAATGTTAGGGCAATTCAAAGGGATTGGGTGCTAAATGCGTTACAAGTAGTGGACAAGCCGATTGTTTTGATGTCGTGATCATGACTTGCCGAGAGCAAAGGTGAGATATACTTCCCAGCATCCATTTGGTCTCATTGCGTTTTAGTTGGAATTGTTAGAGGTGGATCAACCTAACCAGTGCCATGGGCTAACCTCAATTAGAGATCAGAAGTGAAATCGCAGAAGCTTTCTAATGGTAACTTTCGAAGATGTCGTGTCGGATGGACGTTACTACCAAGACGTGGTCTAGATAATTTATCAAAACATTCAAGATACAAACCTCAAAACGCATGAAGGAGTGTCAAATATCTGTAGATTCACAGTTGCTCCTTCGAACAGAACTCGACAAAATTCAGGCTAAACTTTGTTTAGATGGGCTTAATATCCTATAAGCATTTGCTGCACTTCGTTGAGTGGAGCTCGGGAACAAAAGCATTACCTTAATTGTGTATGGTGAGACAGGAGTGTATTTGAATTTGTGCTGAGCATGGGACTTTCAAGCAGGTCTCCCGCACTCGGTGTCCGTGTAAATGGTACTGGTGACAACTTTGAGGTCACCCTTTTTACCAGACGACCCAGAGAAGTCAATTGAGCATCCTTGCTTGCTAGCTGGTGCCTCAGATTGGCATTCTCGGCAACCAAATTTCGCAATTGGCTCACCATCGCGTCCAAGTTGCTCTAAGTAGAAGCCAGTTTTAATCGAAAATAGAACTGTTGAATCCCATTTTGATCTATATTTAGGAGGTTCCCTGTATCATTCAATTAAGGTTCCACTGCAATAACCATCTCATATTGTTGAATGAAGTACACGTTACGCATGGCAATTTATAACTCTCAATATTTCAGTATGACTAGCAAAGGGTGCCGCTAAATTCTATTGTACCTGCCAACTCATCGTGGACTTAAACAAAAAATACAGCATTATATGCTTACTTTAAAAGCTAATTCCTTTTGGTTCATTTCAAGACGTTGCTTTTCATATTCTATCTGTTGCCTACCCAATGTTAGAGTCAGAGACTTCAGGTGCGAGCTTAAAGTCCCTCCCGTTGCAGATTGGACTCCACCCTAAACAGACCTTGGCGGTACAAATTGCAGCATACTATGTCAGGAATTTTAACAGTTCTCAATGACTGAATTGTTGTCGAAGTGGTATTGTTCACACTGTAGGTTGATTGTGGAAGAGTGACATTGTCACATTGAAACTTTTTGGAATCTTCTTCATGACTACAATGACGGAAGGGAAAACCAGCAAATAACAACTAGATGAGGAGACAGATTATTTTTTTCTGAAAGGCTGTACACAGGACTACACTGTAACCCAATGTCGACACCACAAGCTGTTGACGATTGAACGGATCGCGTTTCTGCAGGTGTTTGACATCCTTGACTAGATTTCGAGACTTGAGGAAGCACTAAATTTGTCTTCAAAATGCGCGACGCGGCCTCTTCAGCGTCATTCGCGAGAAATTCCAAATCAGCATCACCTTTAAAAGAACAGTACGGTAAAACTGCATGTAGAAATACGCTTACGGAGAATTGTTGCAACAGATTTGATGCGTTTGAGAAGATTGGCAAAATCTATTGGCGATTCCGATTCATCAGAAATTGTAGGGACCTCTTCCAATAGCTCTTCGTTAAGTATTTTTGGCATAGCTTTTTTCAGCGAGGGCTTAGCAATACAATGGAACAAGAGACTAGTGAGTGTTCTGTATTACCCTCAAATGTTGTTAGTATTGGCACCACTAGTGCAGTAATAACAACAGACCTTTGAAGAATCCGATAATTTAATGGAATTTGAGCAATTTTTTTGTTCATTGGAGCAAGATCGTATGGATTTTCCTGCTCCAGGCTGACCTTCGGACAATTTTTATTGGATGATATGAGGAAACAAATACCGGAAATACTTTTGTAGATGCTTTGAATCATGTCCTCGCTAAGGAGAAGGTCATTTAATAGTCGAGCGCAGTCTTTTCGAACATCAGGAAACAAGGCTGGTCGTCTTGTTGCTACCTTACGTGTCGGTAATTGGCGAATTGTACTTTGTCGTCTTGTTTCGGGCTTCATTTTCCTCCGTGTCGTACTACACAAATTACCTAAATTTTGCAATGGTCATTTGTAGCCGTGCAATATTGGTGCGCCACGAATAAAAATCACAATATAT